TACTTGACTGAAACTTCGTACGTGCGTAGTTTGAAATAATGAATGTACAGTGTATCTTTATATAAATTAGCTAAATATCTCTCTCGTCAGAAACAGTCATCCCAACGATTATGAATAAACTCATTTAGAAATACATCATTACTCAGGAAGAAATCAGACAGGTTTGCAACAGCCAATCAGCTGTAACTCTGAGAAGTGAGCGGAACCTCTCTCTCTCTCTCGTGTACGATCTTCCTTCTTCCTTCCTCACTTCTTTCTTTCTTTCTTTCTATTTATTTCTGTCTTTTTTTTCCCCCTCACCTTCCTTTCCCACACAGAGAGAAGATGGAAGATAGACTGAGAATAAAGAGAGAGAGAAGAGAGGAAAGAAAAGAGAGAGAGAGAGAAACAATGAGATAAAGATCGACAAGGAAAGAAGAAAAAGGAAAGACAAAGAAATAAAAGAAAAAAAAACATAATAAATTCAACTAAAATGACAAACAACGAAAAAAGAAAGAAAAGAAAGAAAGAAAGAAAAGAAAGAAAGAAAGAAATAAAAAGAAAACATCACAATTACAAAGATGGAATAGAAACAACTAAAGTAAAAGGAAACGAATGAATAGATAAAGAAAAAATCTAAATAACACAGAAGAAAGAAAGAAAAATGTGGAAAGAAGTGAAAGAAGACGTCAGAGAAGGAATAAAGATGAAGATAGGAGGAAGATGGAAGAGGAAAAGAAGTGGTGGTGGACTTTGTAAATGTAAATGAAGACGGGATAATCGTTATAGAGAGAGAGAGAGAGAGAGAGAGAGAGAGAGAGAGAGAGAGAGAGAGAGAGAGAGAGAGAGAGAGAGAGAGAGAGAGAGAGAGAGAGAGAGAGAGATATAGAGAGAGGTTTATCCTCATCCTCCTCCTCCTTCTTCTTTCCCACCTTTCTTCCTCTCTTCTTCCTCCAATTATTCTCTCCTGCTGTCTCTTCCACTCACTCTCTACACTCTTTCTGCTCTTATTTCTCGTCCCTCTCTCCATAACCTCGTGTATATCTTTTATGTATGAGTTATCTATATATCCATTAATATCTATGTATATATGCTGTTAAGATGGGTGATGCATAAGAATGTGTATACTTGTATGTCTATGTATGTTTATGTATATAACACTAGGTAAAGGTCTAAGGAAAAAGTTATTATTACCATTCAATTTTATTTTTTTTTATTATTGAAATTATAGAAAAATAACAGAAATCAAAACTACATTTAAATAAGTGATTTTTTTTATGTTCCTGATCATTCTCAATATTCCTGATCATTCCCAATATTCCTGATCATTCTCAATATTCCTGGTCATTCCTATTCCTGGTCATTCTCAATATTCCTGATCATTCCCAATATTCTGGTCATTCCCAATATTCCTGATCATCTCATTATTCCTGGTCATTCTAATATTCCTGATCATTCTCAATATTCCTGGTCATTCTCAATATTCCCTGGTCATTCTCAATATTCCTGATCATTCTCAATATTCCTGATCATTCCTAATATTCCTGGTCATTCTCAATCATTCCTGGTCATTCTCAATATTCCTGGTCATTCCCAATATTCCTGATCATTCCCAATATTCCTGTGGCCGTCATTGTGGGAGTTACAGTTGATGGTAGTTCTTCATAGTAGTTATGACGGTGATGTACAGCTGATGACCACACACACACACACACGCAACACACACACACACACACACACACACACACACACACACACACACACACACACACACACACACAAAGAACAAAGTATCACTAGCAGACTTAAGAAGGTGGAAGCTATTAGTGCTGTCAAATGGCGTGGTGAGAGGCGGTAGTTTCACACGCAGATAGTTTTATGACCTTACCTCAAGGTGCATAAACAGTAAAGTGAAGAATGACACTGGGAGGGAGGAAGTGAGGGAGGTAGGGAGGGTGCTAGAGGAAGGAGAGTAGGAGGTGCTAGAGGGAGGAAGGAGACTAGTGATGCTAGAGGGAGAAGAGCAGGAAGGAGAGAGGGTAGAGGGTGCTAGGGAGGAGGAAGGGAGGGTACTAGAGGGAGGAAGGGAGGTAGGAGGGTGCTAGAGGGAGGGATGAGAGTGCTAGGAGGGAGAAGGAGAGTAAGAGGTGCTGGAGGGGGAGGAAGGAGGGTAAGAGGGTGCTGGGAGGGAGGAAGAGCAGGAAGGAGAGAGGATAGAAGGGGTGCTAGGGAGGAGGAAGGGAGGTAGAGGTGCTGAGGGGAGGAAGGGAGGGTAGGGAGGGTGCTAGAGGAGTATGAGAGGCAGAGGGAGAAGGGAGGGTAGGAGGATGCTAGAGGGACGGGAGAAGGCAGGAAGGAGAGAGGGAGAAGGTGCAGAGGGAGGAAGGGAGGGTACTAGAGGGAGGAAGGGGAGGGTAGAGGGTGCTAGAGGGGAGGGTATGAGAGTGCTAGAGGAGGAGGGAGAAGCAGGAAGGAGAGGGTAGAAGGGGTGCTAGGGAGGGAGGGGAGAGTAGGGTGCTAGGAGGAGGGGAGGGAGAGAGGAGGGTGCAGAGGAGGGAGGAGAGTAGGGAGGGAGCAGAGTGAGGGAGGGAGAGTGAGGGTGCTAGGAGGAGGGGAGGGAGAGTAGGAGGGTGCTAGAGTGAGGGAGAGGGAGAGAGAGGGAGCTAGGAGTGAGGGGAGGGAGAGGGAGGGTGCTAGAGGAGGGGAGGAGAGTAGGAGGGTGCTAGGGAGTGAGGGAGGGAGAGTAGGGAGGGTGCTAGAGGAGGGGAGGGAGAGGAGGGAGGCTAGAGTGAGGGAGGAGAGTAGGGGAGGTGTAGAGTGAGGGAGGGAGAGGAGGGTGCAGAGGGAGGAGGGAGATAGGAGGGTGCTAGAGGTGAGGAGGAGAGTAGGAGGGCAGAGGGAGGGGAGGGAGAGTAGGGAGGGTGCTGGAGTGAGGGAGGGAGAGTAGGAGGGTGCTAGAGTAGGGGAGAGGAGAGTAGAGGGTGCTAGAGTGAGGGAGGGAGAGAGTAGGTGCTAGAGTGAGGGGAGGAGAGTAGGAGGTGCAGAGTGAGGGAGGGAGGAGGGCAGAGTGAGGGAGGGAGAGTAGGAGGGTGCTAGAGTGAGGGAGGGAGAGTAGGAGGGTGCTAGAGTGAGGGAGGGAGAGTAGGAGGGTGCTAGAATTGAGGAAGGAAGGGATAGGTTTCTTCACATACACCAAAATCCATACCAAAATCCATTCATCTCCTCGACCAGACAGCCTTCTGTCCTCACACCGACATGTCAACAAACAGTCACAGATCAACATTAAGTCATGAAATCATTTCAATGACAGGTGAGGTGTATCTATAACAATAATGACAGGTGTGTTAACTCTTTCATTGCCGATAATTAAGGTTTACGGGTTCACAGGTTTACAGGTTTACAGGTTTACAGGTTTACAGGTTTACAGGTTTACTCCCATCAAAGGTTTACTGAATGTCTTAAAAATGAGAAATTAATAGTTGTATAAATTGTTTTGATGATAATGGTAATGATTTAGGTGCTATGGTAGGTCGGTAGGTTGGATGGTAGGTCGGTAGGTTGGATGGTAGGTCGGATGGTTGGATGGTAGGTCGGATGGTTGGATGGTAGGTTGGTAGGTTGGATGGTAGGTTGGATGGTTGGATGGTAGGTCGGATGGTTGGATGATAGGTCGGTAGGTTGGATGGTAGGTTGGATGGTAGGTCGGATGGGTTGGATGGTGGTCGGTGGGTTGGATGGTGGGTCGGATGGTTGGATGGTAGGTCGGTAGGTTGGATGGTAGGTTGGTGGGTCGGATGGTAGGTCGGTGGGTTGGATGGTAGGTTGGATGGTAGGTCGGTGGGTTGGATGGTAGGTTGGATGGTAGGTCGGTAGGTTGGATGGTAGGTCGGTTGGAAGGATGGTATGTTGGTAGGTCGGAAGGAAGGATGGTAGATTGGAAGGTCGGATTGAAGGATGGTAGGACGGAAAGAAGGGTGGTAGGTCGGTAGGTCGGATGGAAGAATGGTAGGATGGTAGGCTGGATGGTGGGTAGGATGATAGGATGGTAGGTCGGAAGGAAGGATGGTAAGTCGGATGGTAGGTTGGTAAGGTGTGATAAAGAAATGGCTAGATTTACACTAAAAAAATAAGAAGACCTCGCTTGTCCTTCTCCTGTATATTGTCAGCCACCGTCAGCACCACTTTCTTCCTGTATAAATGTATGTATGTATGTATGTATGTATGTATGTATGTATGTATGTATGTATGTATGTGATAGATTCGTCCGTGAGCAAAACAGATCAATCCCTGGGCGTGGGCGGAGGTGCATGCTAATCACCCCCCCAGGGACCCGCCCACAGTACCCGCCCACAGCATCCACCCCCCAGGACCCGCCCGCAACATCACTTCATCCTCTTACAGGTATTACTCTTGTGGGTTATTTCCCTTCTGGAGGTTAGGTCAGGTTAGGTCAGGTCAGGTCAGGTCAGGTCAGGTCAGGTCAGTTCAGTTGCCTTGAATAGTCAGGATTTACAATGAGTGTTATTAAACTTTCATCTCTCTCTCTCTCTCTCTCTCTCTCTCTCTCTCTCTCTCTCTCTCTCTCTCTCTCTCTCTCTCTCTCTCTCTTAATACTCCCATCCCGTAGGTCCAGTAAATATCACTCCATTTTTCAAGAGGTAACTCACTATTGGTCTCAGTCAGTCAGTCAATGAGGCTTCACACCTGGACTAATTAATGTTACCTGTGTATATAATGCTCCTTCATTACCACACGCCAGGTAAGCCCCTCCAGGTGTATATTAATTAAGTATTATAAATCAATGATGGCGTTTGTATTTATATTTTGGCTATGTATTCAAGTGCATTAAAATCTCTCTCTCTCTCTCTCTCTCTCTCTCTCTCTCTCTCTCTCTCTCTCTCAAGCTGAGACGTGAGTGGGGGATGAGGATGTGAGGTGAGTGAGGTGAGAGTGAGGGGGAGAGAGGTGAGGAGGTGAGAAATGAGATGCAGCTGGGTGGAGCAGGTCAAGGCAAGAAGAAATTATAACAGGGAAGAGATGCCAAGACCTGTGGGAGGCCTTGGGTGTCTGGGTGGGCGGGCGTCTGGGTGGGCGGGCGTCTGGGTGGGTGGGCGTCTGGGTGGGTGGGCGTCTGGGTGGGAGGCCGTCTGGGGTGTGTGTCTGGGTGGCTGGTCTGGGTGTCTGTGTGGGCGGGTGTCTGGGTGTTTGTGTGCGTGGGCGTCTGGGTGTCTGTGTGGGCGGGCGTCTGGGTGGGTGGGCGTCTGGGTGGGAGGCCGTCTGGGTGTGTGTCTGGGTGGCTGGTCTGGGTGTCTGTGTGGGCGGGCGTCTGGGTGGGAAGGCGTCTGGGTGTGTCTGGGTGGCTGGTCTGGGTGTCTGTGTGCGTGGGCGTCTGGGTGGGTCGACGTCTGGGCGTCTGAATGGGTGGTCGTCTGGGTGGGTGGGCTGACGTCTGGGTGTCTGTGGGCAGGCGTCTGGGTGGGTCGACGTCTGGGTGCCTGGATGGGTGGGCGTCTGGCTGGGTCGACGTCTGGGCGTCTGAATGGGTGGTCGTCTGGGTGGGTGGGCTGACGTCTGGGTGTCTGGTTGGGTGGGCGTCTGGGTAGGTGGGCGTCTTGGTGGGCGGGCGTCTGAATGGGTGGGTCGGCGTCTGGGTGTTTGTGTGGGTTGGGGTTTGAATGGGTGGGCGTCTGGGTGTCTATGTGGGCGGGCGTCTGAATGGTTGGCGTATGGGTGGGTGGGCGTCTGGGTTGGTCGGCTTCTGGGTGTCTGTGTGGGTTGGCGTTTGAATGGGTGGGCGTCTGGGTGTCTATGTGGGCGGGCGTCTGAATGGGTGGGCGTATGGGTGGGTGGGCGTCTGGGTTGGTCGGCGTCTGGATGGGTGGACATCTAGGTGGGTGAGCAGATGTGTGGGCAGGCGTCTGGGTGGGCATTTAAAGGATCATCAGAGGGATGGGTGGACAAGTGGGCGGACGGGTGGGTGGACAAGTGGGCGGATAAACAGGCGGACTAAGCGAGTAAAAAACGTAGAAAGACCAATAAAATAGAAGAAACAAAAAGATGATGAAAAAGAGAGAGGAGAGAGAGAGAGCGGACATACAGAGAGAGGAGAGAGAGAGAGAGAGGCGGACATACAGAGAGAGAAACGTGCTTCTGAAATATGCTGGTGGGAGACCTCACTTGAGAATGCAGTGAGGGAGGGGGGGGAAGAAAGGAAAGGAAGGTAGAGAAGGGAAACGAAGGAGGGAGGGGGGAGGGAAGGAGGGAGGAATAAGGCAAAGATTACGATCCTCAGTTGTCCTTGATAGAACATCCCTACCTCCTTGCTGCCTGGTGGTGGTGTGTTGGAGACAGTGTGTGGTGGTGGTGACAGTGTGGTGGTGGTGGTGTGGTGGAGACAGTGTGTGGTGGTGACAGTGTGTGTGTGGTGTGGAGACAGTGTATGGTGGTGGTGTGGTGGGGAGACAGTGTGTGGTGGTGGTGTGGTGGAGATAGTAAGTGTAGTGGAGACAGTGTGTGGTGGTGGTGTGGTGGAGACAGTGTGTGTGGAGACAGTGTGTGTATGGTGGAGACAGTGTGTGGTGGTGGTGTGGTGGGACAGTGTGTGGTGGAGACAGTGTGTGGTGTGGTGGAGACAGTGTGTGGTGGTGGTGTGGTGGAGACAGTGTATGGTGGTGACAGTGTGTGGTGTGTGTGGAGACAGTGTATGGTGGTGGTGTGGTGGAGACAGTGTGTGGTGTTGTGGTGGAGATCGTAAGTGTAGTGGAGACAGTGTGTGGTGGTGGTGTGGTGGAGACAGTGTGTGGTGGAGACAGTGTGTGGTATGGTGGAGACAGTGTGTGGTGGTGGTGACAGTGTGTGTGGTGGTGGTGTGGTGGAGATAGTAAGTGTAGTGGAGACAGTGTGTGGTGGTGGTGGTGGTGTGGTGGAAACAGTGTGTGGTGATGGTGTGGGGAAACAGTGTGTGGTGGTGGTGTGGTGGAGACAGTGTGGTGGTGGTGATGTGTGGTGGAGACAGTGGTGTGGTGGTGGTGTGGTGGAGACAGTGTGTGGTGTTGGTGTGGGGGAAACAGTGTGTGGTGGGGTGGTGTGGGAGAGTATTTGTTGTGGTGCTGTGGTGTGTAGAGTGTGAGGGGGTGGTGTGGGTGGTAGTGAAGAGACGCTGTGGGGGGTAGTGGGTGGTGGTATGGCTGGCAGTGGGTCACACTGGGGTGGCGGGTGGTAGCACTTAACTGTTTTACTAAATTTACCCTAATTGCTCAGTCTTCTAAACTCCGCCCACTGCTGAGTCTCCTTAGCAACCGTGGCAGCCTTGAGTGTCAAAGACCTCAACTGCCGTGGCAGCCTTGAGTGTCAAAGACCTCAGCAACCGTGGCAGCCTTGAGTGTCAAAGACCTCAACTGCCGTGGCAGCCTTGAGTGTCAAAGACCTCAACTGCCGTGGCAGCCGTGAGTGTCAAAGACCTCAACTGCCGTGGCAGCCGTGAGTGCCAAAGACCTCAGCAACCGTGGCAGCCTTGAGTGTCAAAGACCAACTGCCGTGGCAGCCTTGAGTGTCAAAGACCTGCCGTGGCAGCCTGAGTGTCAAAGACCTCAACTGCCGTGGCAGCCGTGAGTGTCAAAGACCTCAACTGCCGTGGCAGCCGTGAGTGTCAAAGACCTCAACTGCCGTGGCAGCCGTGAGTGTCAAAGACCTCAACTGCCGTGGCAGCCGTGAGTGTCAAAGACCTCAACTGCCGTGGCAGCCGTGAGTGTCAAAGACCTCAACTGCCGTGGCAGCCGTGAGTGTCAAAGACCTCAACTGCCGTGGCAGCCGTGAGTGTCAAAGACCTCAACTGCCGTGGCAGCCGTGAGTGTCAAAGACCTCAACTGCCGTGGCAGCCGTGAGTGTCAAAGACCTCAACTGCCGTGGCAGCCGTGAGTGTCAAAGACCTCAACTGCCGTGGCAGCCGTGAGTGTCAAAGACCTCAACTGCCGTGGCAGCCGTGAGTGTCAAAGACCTCAACTGCCGTGGCAGCCGTGAGTGTCAAAGACCTCAACTGCCGTGGCAGCCGTGAGTGTCAAAGACCTCAACAACCGTGGCAGCCGTGAGTGTCAAAGACCTCAACAACCGTGGCACAGAGTCGCGCCGCCTCATTAACAAATTCACCTCTATTTTTTCTCTTGTTTTATCAAAGGCTTATACTTGCAACCTTCGTCCTCTAGGGGTCAAGGACATGAGACATTGACATAAGACAAAGACAAAGACACAGACATAAGACAAAGACATAGGACACAGACATAAGACACAGACATGATGAACAGACAAAGACATAAGACACAGACCTAAGACAAAGACATAAGACAAAGACATAAAGACAAAGACATAGGACACAGACATAAGACACAGACATAAGACACAGAAATAAGACAGACATAAGACAAAGACATAAGACAAAGACATAGGACACAGACATAAGACACAGACATAAGACACAGAAATAAGACAGACATAAGACATAAACATAAGACACAGACATAAGACAAAGACATGAGGCACTGACATAAGCCACAGACATCAGACACACCGGGCAGGTAAGTCACTTATAAACTGCCCCGGACAAGCTAAAACTTCAACAAAGTCTCGAGCATTATCTGTTTTTCAGAGTGGGAGGTCGTCTGTGTACACTCACTTATGTACAATACGTACACGCAAATCCCATGTACACAAAACACACACACACACACACACACACAGTTGTTATATAAGAGAGTCGTTGGAGCAGTAAATTGAGTGTTTGCTGGTGATATGTCGTGTGGAGTGACTTACATAATGGTGTAAAGAAAATAACCTGTTATCAGACTACAGGAGTGAGGCATTTTTACCCGTTGAATACATATTGTTTACCTGTGGTGTGTGTGTGTTGATATTAAACTGGGTATAGTTGTTGTTGTGGTAGTGGTAGTAGTAGTAGTAGTAGTAGTAGTAGTAGTAGTAGTAGTAGTAGTAGTAGTACCAGAAATTATGCAACAGTAAATAATAACAGTAATGGTAGTCGATAAGAAGAGTACTGGTAGCGGGGGGGGGGAGGGAATTGAGTTGCAGAGCGAGTGTTGCAACATTTAATTTCGAGCGATGCAGCATGATCAACACACACACACTGCCGCCAACACTATCACTTGTCTGGTTAATGGAGCCGGTTTAAGTGTATTATGGTCGCTACTGTTGCTGTCATTATGTTTCTGTTGTTACTGTTGTTACATAGTGCTGTTTTACTGTTGTACCCTACTGCTTTTAACTGCTAGTGCTACTACTAGTTTTTATTACCTTAAAATTAAATATCTTAATACATAAGTAGCTATCCTAGCTGTGTTGAGTTAGTTGAGCCGCAGATCTATGCGGCATTCAGTGACTGTAGCCTCATAGTCAATATCTGCAACTGTTGTCGGCTTTGGGGTCGATGCTCTCGTTCCCCTGAGGCAGAACAAAGCCAACCGAAGGAGAGAGAAGGACAGTCGACATCTCATCCAGGCTGTAACATAACTTCTGGGCTGCTGCTTCTGTTCGGATAGCACCTCCGCGAGTCTGGCGTAGAAACATCTTGCACTTGGTCCCATCCCACCTGAGGTTGTGAACACTAGAGGAGTGAAGCTGCCGTGATCAATGTTTGGAATTCTCTCCCCATATGCCCTTCTCTTGTCGTTGTCGTTCCTCCTGTGTGCAGCATCGAGAGCTAAGTTACGGTGACATGCGGCCAGGGGATAAAAAACCATGATGTCGAAGAAGGCTCGCTGTCCCCGCGTCCAGAATCCTCGAGCACTGACGTCAACACGGGCTTCGTTGGATGTGTTTGAAGTCCTATGTTGGAAATTCTCACTGTCCAATGGAAGGAGGGTCGGTTCTATCCTGACATCACGGCAGATTTCCTTCAACATATTTGCTGTGAGATCCCTTACCTCGTCATGCCTCATGCGTATGAAGCCCCCTTTCTTGCACACCATGGCGTGATCGACGTCATAGGAAGAGCCACACAAGCACTGGGAGGGCAAACCTTCTACTGGCCTACCGTACCTTAGGGCATTGACATCTGTAAATTCTTATTTATTGAGACTGAAATCATTTGCCCTTATCGGTAACGTAGTTAACCAGTTCGAGGCGCCCACCTCCTGCTCTATAGCTACTTCTTTTTTTCAAATTCTCTGGTACTTGCAGCAACAGTTTCTGCAACTTATCACTTTGGCCGTGCTGTCGTTCTGTCGTAATGGACCTTCAAATCTTGTTTACTTCACTGGTATCCACCTCCCCTGTTGTGTTCTGAGCCATTATGTGGTCCTTGAGGGCTGCCGTGAGCTTACCTGAGTTCTGATGTTCGGTGGCAGCAATCTCCTCTGGATTGGTCAATCCCATTCCTCCCAGTCTCGCTGGTAGTACAAGGAGTGATCTTTCTGCTGGGGTTAAGTGAGGGCGTTTCACTAATTTTGGAATGAAATTGACGCTGAATATTAATCACAGCTGCAGTGGTGGTAGTGGTAGAGGGTAGTGGAAGCGCCCCTAGTAGTAGTAGTAGTAGGATGACCACCACTACCCACCACAATCAACCCCTACAACCATTACCACTATCACCACTACTACCACCATTATTACCATCACTACTACTAACAAGGCAGTAACTTAACAATTAGTATATATTTATAAACCCAAGCCTGCGTCCACCCCTTTCCTCCACTCCCCCCTTTCTTCTCTCTCCCTCTACTCCCCCTTTCCCTTCACCCTCCCTCCAACCCGCACCCCTCACCCTCCCTCTCTCCCTTTCTTCCCTCTACCATTCTCATCCTCCCTCCACCTTCTACCCTCCTCCACTCCTCCTTCCTCCACTCCCTCCTCCTTCACCCTCCTGTAACGTGAGATCCAGGCGGGTGATTTAACCTGTGAATGATGTGAAGGAAGCGGGAGA